TCCAGGTTAAATTATTTATAACTGTCCATATTACGGCAGAAATCCTCCAAAAGAAACCCAGCAGCATGGAGCAGCACATGTTGGTGGATCTGGTTCTCCTAGTTGTTTTGGTTCAACAGGTATTTTATCAGGTTTTCTGGAGCGCTGACAAGTTACTTTCCCCAAAATATATGCAAATGTTGAGAAATGGACCATCTTCTGAATACAATGTTTCCAGATAAATACTTAAAAATAAATTCTAAATCTAAGTTTTATTGTTTTCTTGCAAAGTCGTCACTGTAACAGATCATGGTCTGCCATACTGACATCTGGAGCCGTATATTCATAACTAGGCCTGTCAGGATAAGATATTTTCCCAGACGATAAATTGTCCCAGAAATTATTGCGATAAACGGTAATATTGTTGTTTTAAGACAATTTTCAAGTATTATTACGGTAATGTCATAATAACTCAAAGGTCAATAAGCTTTAAAGTCTAATGAACATTCAACACTGGAACTGGAAGACATTTTAAATATCCAAAATAAACAGAAACAACAAATAAAATTAATTATAGATTCTGTGGAAGCAAAATTAGCTAATTGAGACCAAAGCACCAAACTAAAGATTTGCTTCAGTTTTTGATAGAAAGAGAGAAAAGAGAAAATTAATAAATCATATTAAAGGAAATTATTGAGCTCGTTTTAATTACTTATGATTAATTGATGTATTGCTTATTGCAACAAGCCTGTTAATAGAAACTTTGGGAGCAACTTGTTTTTGTTGAGCTTTTGATTTTTCATGGATGCAAATCTTATCTTGATAAATATTTATGGGTTTCCTGAATTTCTAAGACTCTTGTCAAATTAATGTCGTCTCTTCTGAAGAGAGCAAAAATGACTGGACATGCGCTGGGATTTAACCCTTTACGCACGCTTGATTTTATCATCTTCCAGTGTTAATGGAGGACATGTTGAGAGCTGGAAGAGGAAGACATGCTGCAAAACGTCCAGGTCCGACAGGAAGCCCAACAAATTCATCCACTCAGAAAAGTCAGAATGAATATTTTCTAGCAAAAATATTAGGTTCACACACTAATCAGTGAGTGGAGGAGGAACATCTACAGAACGACAGAACCGTCTGAGAACCTCAGCATGGCTGTAACTGAACACAACCAATCCATTCACTGTAGTGCAAAAGGATTGGTTGCAATAACGATTATCAATGTAACCATTAATATTCTTCTACAAAGTGGTCGTTTGGTCGGGGTGTAACGGCATCTTATTGTATAAGATCTGGAAAATTACAACACAAAATTTCCCGTTGGTGATTATCTCACTAGCATAGATGTAACAGAAAATGTTTTATCTACCTGCTGAAGGAGGAAGAAGGCATCGTGCAAACAGCTAATGGCCGGATATCTGAAGGGCATGTTGAGCCAAATCACAATCACAGCAAAAACTACCGATACCAACTGGAAAATGGTGAGTTTTGTCTGCAGACTATGAACATCTGAATCTGTTTTGTGAGGTTTGAATAGATAAAAGAAATCAGAAAAAGATTGTTGGGTTTGTAGCAAAAATCAAAGGATAAAGGCTTTCTTGCAGCATAAATCAGATACTTGATCTTGAAAATATTAAAATTTCATTTTGTTCTCGTGAACTCACCATCACGTCTCGCCTTATACGAGATAAAGTGTCTTTACATCCCTATTGTTTGTTTCTAATTAATTTAAAGAAGCAGCATTCAGCTTCTATGCTAAATCTGGAACAAACTTCCAGAGAACTGCTAAACAGCTGAAACACCGAGTTCCTTTAAATCTAGACTAAAAACCCACCTGGTTAGAGTTGCTTTTGAACCATAGTAAATGAAACATTGATGTGAATTGATGATTTTGCTGATGGCACCAGTCAAAATGTAACGTTTGTTTCTGGTGTTCCCAACTGTTGATTGTGTGACTTTTCATATTTTGGGGTTTTTATGATGCAAAGCACATTGAGATGCCTTGTTGGTGATGTGCTACACAAATCAACTTAAAAAATATAATGACTGTCCAGGAAAAATGAAAAATGAAAAAAAAAAAAATCAACCGTTACTCAACAGTTCTGCAAAACCAGAGCGTTCTGCGAAAGGGTTTTCAGGGGGAAACTGGAGACTTTTCATAGACTTCAAGAGAACATGCAGATGCAAACATCTAAGATGCACACAGACAAAGTTGTGCAACCTTTCAGAAAGCATGCATGAGGTTTGTGCAATGTTTAGGGCACCACAAAGATGTTTCAATGAACTCTGGTGGTCTTTCTGCAGTAAAACCACCAGGTAATCTCCTCACTGCGTGTTTGTGTGTGCACTCTGAGAATGGGAGTGTTGGAAACGCGACCAGGGAGTCTCCTCTGTGTGCAGATTTAGAAGCAGCGAAGCGACTTTTTGAAGAAAACTGATGTCTGTGCTGCAGTTTCTGGTGCTGCTGCTGAAAGCCCACAGACCACAACCACAATCATAATCAGATGTACCATGAGGCAGTTGGGAATGGAGGTAGCTGTATAAATACAGGTACAGGTCAAAGCAGAGCATCAGTCGGTCCTCTGTTCAGAGCATCTAGCGAGTTTAGTGAACCAACATGCCGTCTTGCAGCGTTTCACTGGGTCTACTGGTCTTACTGGGGGGCGTTCTGGCTTACGCTCTGCCGTTTCAGGCCATTTCAGAAAATCTAAAACAAAGTCACGAGACCATCGCAACTGATCTGGTAAGTTTACTTGTTGGTGTCCCACAGGGCCCGATTTTTGGCCCTTTTTCTTTTCTTTTTAAAGGTGGATGTTGATGTTTTTAATTTTCAGTTAGGATGTAATTGGAAACGGAAGACAAGACGCTGAGATCGAACACGGATTCAGCGCAGATTAAAATGTTTCTTAAATTTCCAACAAGCTGAAAGATGAGCAAAGCGACCAAATGACCATGATTACTTACAAACTACAACATGATCTGTTTATTTGTTAAATACAGAGAATAATATCTGTTAAGTGACTCTGAATTGAACCAACTTTGACACTTTCCCCAAAACAGTTTTTTGCAGCGGTTTTCTGTGCGCTATTACTCAGCTTGTGGTTTCCACCCAGTACAAATGAGGTCATGCATGTGACCATTGACTGACAATTATACTTTAAATTATTAAGCTTTCAGTAGCCTTAAACAAAGTTATCCTGCAGTGTCATGCGGTTAAAGTTTGACAGGGGTTTTATCTGCAGTTTCTTTTGTTTCACATATTTTTATCAAACTGTTGGAGGAAAGCAGCTGACTTTGATCTCAGAGATAAGTTGTGATTACATCAAGTGAAAGCGAAAACACAATCTGAACTTTTATGCATTTTCTCCATGTCATCAGATAAGTTATCAACAATCTGTGACAAAGCAGGGAAATTTCTCAACTCTGACGTGGCTTTATTTTCAATTTAGATTTTACTTCCAATTATTAAAGATATTTCACTCCATAGTTTTAATCTGCTTGGAAAGCTAAAATATTTGGTCAAACTTAGTAAAAATACAAATAGAGAATTAATTAAAGAAAAAATAAACCAGATTTTTAACTTGTTTAGATGTTTGGTCTTCTGTTTTTGAGTGTAATTGTGCATCGTGTTTGCTTCAGGGACTGACGCAGCTGGAGGTCAACAGAGATCCTCTCTTCGATTTCGTCATCAGAACCATCAACACCTCCTGCCAGGTAAACAAACAACATGGTGGTCGTCGTTTAGACGTTTTTGGGTCTGAAATGGAGACGTTTAACGCAGGACTCTTCGTACCAACCAGCTTCAGAGGAATCCTTTCTGATCCATAATTTATGAAAACATGCAGCTGAAAATGTAATGTACTGAAAAACATCCATCATCTGCCACAGCTTACTGAACAATCTGAGAAAATACTAGAAGGAAAAAGATGAGACTGTTTCCCTACATATTTAAGAACTAGTAACTAGGAAAGTTTATTTCTTTTTCTGATAGTTTTATTTTACTTTTTGGTATTTAGTTAACCTCTTTAAACTCTGGCTTACAAAGCCACTACATTTATGATGTGCTGATATTATTTTGTTCTATTTAACTGCAATAATTTACATGACACATAAAAACAGACTCAAAGGCAGGTTGATGCAAGATGAAAAAGGAATACATTTCTGCCAAAAACTCAGAAATTTTGTGACTAATCTCAGAAATGATCCAGAAAACTTGGAAATTTTAACGAAAGTTTTTCAAAGGAAAATTTTCAACATGGGATTTTGAAATGCTTCATGTCTTCTTGGAGAAAATTTCTGATATTAACCTAAAAAAATATTTTTTTTCTCTATCAAATTTGCAAGCTTTTTTTCTCCAAGAAAATTTTGGGTATTACTCTCAAAATTTCTGCGTTTTTTGGCAGAAAACTTTAATTTTGCATGTTTGCTGTATTAAAACAAAGACATCTAGTTTTCAGTTTCTTTTGGGTTCAATTGAATACATTTATTTTTAGTAATAAAAACGGGATTTGGCTCACTTTTTTTCAAAACGCTTGCTACATTTAGCCAAGTTTTTGCTGATTTAGGTGCAGCAAAGTTGGCTTTTCAGTAAGTCTCTTGGTTTAAATTATTTTTTATAAAAACACAAAGTAAAAGTCTCCATTTGTGAGTACGCCCAATAACAATGTAGCTGGACCCAAAACTGAGCCCTGAGGATCTCCAGTCTATGCTTACAAACGATTAAATGTCAAACAATACAAACTAACTTTTTCTACCAATTCTGCTGTAAACATCCTGTTGGAGTGATTTTAATCGATCTCAGACAGAAAAACCAGCCTTCTCTAATTCTCTTTCTTCACGTCCCACAGAGAAAAGAAGACATAGTGCTGCTGAACGCCACGCTGGACGTCTACATGCGAATCTTCTCGTCTGTCCGGCATCACAAACACCTGCTGAACAAGCTGTCAGAGTCGAAGCGGACCGAAGTGAGGGAAAATCTGAAGAATCTGGAGAGTAAGGCGAAGGAGCTGAAAAGCCGACTGATTTGTCAAAATCAGAACATAGAGGATGCGCTCAGCGAGCTGGAAAGAATCAAGGTAACATTCATTTTTCAAGAGTTTTTTTTATATTTTGGTCATATGAGAATCACGATTTTTTAAAATGAGAAGTCAAGATGTTGTCCAGAATTCTCAGAGAAAAAAATTACTTAAATGAACATTTTTCTTTTTGTACTGCTGCCAATGCGACTGCTGGTTATTTCACCATTTCATATCTTCAGTAAGAAACTGGAGTCGTCTAACATGAACTGATTCCCATCAGTGATGCGTCGGTTCAAACACGAACGTCTAGAAATCCACCGTCTTTACTTGTGGTAACTTTTCAAAACAAGACTGTGTGACCTGTCTGGACTCAGCCTTGGAAAAGCAGAAGCATGACTAAATAATATATTTATAATATGTTTACTAACAGAAAAAACGGTTGTTTTGATGATCGGTTTGTTTTTAAGATCATTTACAGACAAAATGAAAAAACTGTGAACTGGTTTATTTATACAATCACAACGGTTATGAAGCGAGAACAAACTGCTTTAATTTAAACATGAAGGAGTCTTCAGGAAAGTTTATGGCTGCTGTCATGAAGTGTCATTCGGTAAATAATGACACTTTTAATGCAAAGTTGCCCTAAATGTTGACTTGTAATCTACTTTGCAGTAGAGCGTCATTATTTCCCTAATAATGCAAAGTTGACACTTAATGCAACTTGCATCAAAAGTCTCATTACTCTCAAAATAATGCATAACTGACACTTTTAAGTTACTTTCAATGCAACTTTTAGAGCAACTTTGTATCAAAATGACAATATTTACCAAATAGTTCAAAGTTGACACTTTTAATGGACTTTTAATGCAAGTTTTAGTGCAAATTTGCATTAAAGGTGTCATTATTTACCAAATGACAACAGTTGTAAGCATTTATAAAGACTCCTTCATGTTCTTGACAGGTGTTATGTCAGTCTTGTGCGCAGCCCCTCTAATAAACTGTTACCAAATCTACTTGATCAAATGCATCTGTAGAGTAAATAAAACGCAGCTTTCATCTACACTCTTCCCTGAACCTGTAGCAGCAGAAGTTATTTATTGGCTGTAACGGATAGATGTGATTTCATGTGAATTGACCTGAGGATTCCTCTGCCTTCAGGTGGACGACCCCATGGTGCAGAAAAAGGCTCTGGCTCAGTTCCTACAGATCTACCAGGCAGCTTCTGTGGTGGCAGAATCCCAGGCTGCCTCTGCAAAGTAACCATCAGTTTCCACCAGTTTGACTAAAGCCGCTCTGGGAACCAACAAACCGTTCTCTCACTTTAACTTCTTATTTATAATTATTTACCTCTGTTTTTACTTTTTTAAGTTGTAACTTGAGTTGAGCTGCCTTTAGGCCTGTCACAATAACCAATAAATCAATTATTTAGATGATAAATTAGAACAAGCTCAATGATTTCCATTGGCATGATTTATCTCTGATAAAAGTCTTCAGTTTGATGCTTTGGTCTCAACTATCTTCTTTTTTTGAAGGACAGTTTTGTTTACAGAGACTTCAGCATCCATCCATTTTATTTGTTCTTCCTTTGTTTTCTTTATTTATTTTTGATATTTAAAATGCATTCAGTGTTAAATGTTCATTATAATTTACAGTTTATTGACCTTTTATTATGCCATTATTACCATTAAATTACTTGAAAATGGTCTCAAAACAACAATATTATTGTTCATCTTAACTTCTGAGAGAATTTATTGTCCATCAAAATGTGTTTTTGTGACGGGCCTCGCTGTGTTCGATGTTCATGTCTACTTCCACTTTCACATTTACTGTAACTGCAGTTTAAGTATTTAACAGGTTACTTGAATCCATTTCACATTCTAATGTTCCACCTGACTGAGTTATATTTATTTTATGATTATTTATTAGGAGTTATTTATTTTTAATTTATTGTGTTGTTTTTATTTCAATAAAAGCAAATAACTTTACCCAAAATGTTGGTTTGTGACATTTTTCAAAGTTACATTTGACACTCGGATCAATCGGTTCCCTATTAAACTTTTTGCTTTGAATGAATCGTATCAGTAAAGTTAATGTTCATCTAATCTACCCGACAGTCTTTTGAGTATTTCTGAAGATGACAGGAGTCTGTTTTGTTGCTTTGTTCTGTTTTGTTCTTGAAATCTGAGTGAAAAGGAATAGTGGGAGTACAGGTCCCTGTGGTGCTCCTGTGCTGTTAATCTCCTGCTTAGACTCACAATCCTTCAGTCTCACTAACGCCGTTTTCACACCAGGGAGTCCGATAGACTCGGTCTGACTTGGGACCAAAACTGCAGCATTTGTTACATTTCCAGCTGCTGTGGTTGTTTCTCTCTCTGCTCTGAGTCAAACCAACCTGTTCCCCTCCTGGCCTGTGGGGGCGCTGCACCACGAACCACTGAAGGAAACGACTCAAAAACCTCTGAAGACACTGAGAGCAACTTCCTTCTTCACCAAATGGAAACAAAAATTGAGTGGCGTTGGATTTTAGCGGTTGTAGATTTTTGTTTTGTCTTTGGTAATAAACCAGGAGTCATTTCTCCCGCTAGAAATGACACCACAAATCTGTACTACACCAGACTTGTGGTGTAGTACAGAACCAAAACAAACAATCTAGTTTGTTTTGGTTGTATTTACCCAAAATGCCAAGCGATATAATCAACTTCCTGCTATTGGAGTCCAATTGGCATTCACATATGCATTTGAAGTGAATCAGAGTTCAACTGAACCAAGACCCAGATTTTTTGGCGGACCAGAGTTTCCATTTTTGGTTTGCATCAGTGTTTGATTACTTATTCACACCTCCCCAAACGAACCAGACTTTTTAGGCTAACGCAGTGGAGTTGGATTAAAGCGGACAACACAAAAGTGGTGTGAATGCACCTGAAGAGTTTCTGACAAATAAAATCAGGCTGAATTGTGTTAAATGCAGTGGAGAAATAAAATAACATGATGCTAACATTGTCCAGAGGATAAATACAACCAAAACAAACACGCTAGGCCAGCAGGAGAAACGACTCGTGGTCTTTTACCAAAGACAAGAGGGAAATCCTACAACCACGAAAATCAGAAGCCACTCAGCTTTTATTTGCATTTGGTGAAGAAGAAAAGGAAGCAGCAAAATCTTCTGATTTGGTTTAAGACAAGTTTACTTTTACCTACGTCAATGTTTCTTCTTTCAAATGTAAAATAAAGTCAGTCTCGTCTTGTTGAAGTGGGTGCGGTGTTCTTCAATAGAGGCAATCAGCCTCTAAAGTCTAAGAACCAATTATTTGGTGATTTTTTAAAATGTAAATACATTTCTAAAGGTAATAATTAAACGGACTGATTTTGGTTGAGTAATAGGGCAGCAGGTCTGCAGGCGTATAAAGACTAAACAGGATATAAACTTGACAGCCGGTTTCATTTTAAATCTCGGCAAATAAAAGGAAATTCTGAAGTATATCAATAAATAAATGTCTGAAAATGTCAGCGGTACTAAATCCCACCTTCTGAAGGAAAACATTTATTCGGTGGAGAAAGAAGAAGAAGAAGAAGAAAAAGTGAGTGGAATGACTATCCTGTGACATCAGGCTGACATCAACAGGTTTCCCTTCTCTTCACCAATCATGTGGAGGGATTTCCCCTCCACTGCATGATGTAATAAAACACTGAGAAGAGGACGGTTGTGGCTAACAACTAGTTAGCATATGTAACTATGTAAATATAAACGTAAAAAAAAAAAAGAATAAATGTAAATATAAAATGAAAGGACAAATCCTGTTAATAATAATACTAATTCCACACACTTGTTAATCAGTTAACAGATTAACTAACTGCATGATTTGATTATTCAACTGTAATCAAAACAACAAAATTAAGGTTCCTTCAGGTTTCTCCAACTCAAATTTAAGACCATTATGAATGAAATTTAAGACGAGTTTCACAATAAAAGTGTATGGAAAACAATAAGTTTGCACTTAGCCATGATGCACATAAAAACTAGCTAGGTAGCTAGCAAGAGTACATTAGCAGCTAGTTAGCGGTAGCTTCAACCACCGTGAGTCAGAGAATGCTATGAAGATGTGACTCAAACTTCATCCTGACCTAATCCTAACACAGTGAGGAAAAAACTACACAGAAAATACAAGATTAGGTAGATTCATCTTTACAAAATTTAAGACCAACTTGCATTGTTTTTAAATTAATTTAAGACTTTTTAAGGCTTTAATTTTGGATAAATTAATTTAAGACTTTTTAAGGGCGTGTCAACACCTTCAAAATATTAATTAGTCAACAAAAGTCATGATTCGGTATGTATTCAGGTAGCCTGGTATTCATTTCAGTACGATCAAGAAAAGTAAAACAAAGTTGTTGTTTTTTTTGTTTGTTTTACTTCAGTGTCCAGTAATACATCTTTTTGCATTTATTTGATTCTATTATGTTCCAAAACTTTTTTTAAAAGTGTAAAGTTTATTTATGTAGCACATTTCAGCAACAAGGCAGTTCAAAAACACCAATAATCAATTATGAAACAAGCAGTAAACATTAAATTTTATCAAATCCCATCAATAAAATCACCAAGTAATTGCATATCAAATATACTGATCAATATTTCACTTACTTCAAATTAAAGGTAACTCTAAACAGGGAGGGTTTAGCCTTGGTTTAAAGAAGCTCTGTGTTTCAGCTGTTTTGCAGTTTTCTGGAAGTTTGCTCCAGATGTGTGGTGTAGTACAAAACTGACTGGTTAGATTTTTGTCAGTGACAAAAATCATATAAACTGGAATAGAAAATGTCAATCGATGGATAATTATACAACACATGTAACCAGTTGAAGGCAGCTGGTTTTTACACATTTTTCACCCATGTTTAATAATAAATCAATTGTTTTGGTGGCGTTTGTAGAGAGTTTTAGCTGATTGGACACAACAGGCAGCTGGTGTTGGACTCCAGTACCAGTGATGTTTCCACTCAGCTTGACGTTGTTTTCTGTGAATAATACAGTTTAATCTGAAATTTTGTTTAAGTTTAACCAACTCTCCATTAAAAAAAAAGTAGATTTTTAGCAGATATATCTTATTATCCAACAGGAAGAGTGAAAGGATACCAGGTGTGTCTGGAGCCTTGAGCTTGGCTAACAAACCACGTTGCCTCCCCTGTTCGTGTTTCCATTCACACCGCCCAAACGCCCGCCAGTTGGTTGGTTATTCTTTATGTTCCAGTTTTGGTACGTCGACGTCAGCGTTAGTGATTCTTTACTTCATTTGAGCTGTAAGCACATTTCTTCAGGTGGGAAGGAAGAGATCAGTTCTACAGAAGTTCTGGAAGCCGTTTATGTTTGTAATAGAAATAGTCAACCGTAAATTTGTATCTTAAGAAAAAGCAAACCAGCCCACTTCATCTATTCATGTAAAACTAAATGAATTCTGCTTCAAACTGATCACAGACGTGTATATTTTGAATTTATTATAAAGGGTTAACAACTGCAGCTTCTATAGCAACACCTTTCAAACTCTGACATAATATCCCCACTTCGTTTCGCAACATGTAACTTTTTTTAAATAATGCTTCAGATATGTTGCATGTTGAAGTCTGGTCAGCGATCACGCCTTCAACACGTCACTTAACTCATTTCACACTCACACTTATGGTAAAAAGACCTTTCGGCTTTTTCTGTCTTCCTGCTGTCGTCACCTTCCTACACTGAGGAGCATCTGAATGCAGCGTCAAACCACAGCCGTTGACTCAGGCCTCGTCGTACAGGGGCAGCCCTCAGTGCAACTCTGGGATTTCTCCTCGGTCACACCAAGAAAAACGTCCACTCTCCAAACGTTTAGAAAATATGATTCATCAAAATGGACAACCTGCTGGCAAGGTCATCGACAAATAAATAAAAATCATGACTTTTAAACATACGTCAGTAAAAAAGAAGTTACATTAGGATAAACCAATATGGCTGACGGTCAAAACAATATAAAAGTCAAACTTAAAGTCTGAATTTGAGCCTTTGCAATAATCTTTAGTTAAAAAGACAGCAGAGTCATTTGGAGGTATTCTGGTAACAGCATTAGATAAGCATGTAAGTTCATTTATAAAGCAAATTTTCACAGACCGTGATCACAAAGTGTTTTACTAGAAAATAGCAACACAGAGTGCAAAAAATAAACAATACAACCATGAAGGCTCAAATTTAACTACGTAAAACTCACTAAGGGAGTTTCACACCCGACAGTCCGGTGGATTCGGTTCAATCTGGGACCAAAATTGCAACATTTGTTACATTTTCAGCTGCTGTAGTTCTCTTTCACACTGTCAAACCAACCAAATCCTTTAAGCAGCCTGTTCCCCTCCTCACCTATGGGGGCGCTACACCAAGAATCACTGAAGGAAACAACATGAAACCTTTGGCTAAAGACCACGAGCCATTTGTCCCGT